CCAAAACTAAATGGTTAACTCAGGGTGAGGATGACCTCAAGTTTCTTTACTCTAGAATTCGTATGAGAAGGAGCTATAAAAAAACTGCTATAGCTCTTGCTATGGCTAACCAGGGTATATCAGTCTCTGAAGCTATCAAAGAATCTATTTCTTACTTCCAATCTCTGTTTAATGCTCCTCATCAGTCGGATTTTGACATCAACTACTTTCCTCCTAGTATTGTTATTGATTCAGATTACACTTTCAATCTTACTGCCCCTTTCTCTGATTCTGAGATTAAGAAAGTTGTATTTAAGGGCTCTTCCAATTCCACCCCTGGGCCGGATGGATTCAATTTTGAATTTTATAAATCTACTTGGGTGCTTATTGGTACTTCTGTTTGCAATGCTATCAAAGGGTTCTTTCATAATGCTTACATTCCCCGCACTATCAAAGCTACTGCCATCACCCTTATTCCGAAATCTACTAATGCTGAGTCCATTGGTGATTTCAGGCCCATTGCTCTATGCAACACCTTGTACAAAATTATTGCTAAACTATTGGCTGAGAGAATGAAGCCTATTATGCCCAAAATTATTAAAGAGAATCAAGCGAGTTTTATTAAAAAAAGGATCTCTACGGATAATGTTATTCTTGCTAATGAGATTCTTCAATTCTCAAGGAAATCCTCTAATATCAGGCTTATGTGTGTTAAGTATGACATTAAGAAAGCCTTTGATAGTGTATCTAGACATTTCCTTCTTGCTCGGATGAAGCAAAAAGGTTTTCCCATCTCCTTTATTAAGTGGATTGAAGCTTGTATTCTGGATGTCTGGTTCTCTCTTTGTATGGATGGTTCTTTGGAGGGATTCTTTCAATCTTCCTCTGGGTTAAGGCAGGGTTGCCCCCTTAGCCCTTATCTCTTCAGTATAGTTATGGATGGTCTTTCCTGTTTGCTGGATAGCAATTTGCTTGAACAATACTTTGAAGGCTTCTCTTTTGGGAACTTTAGATTGACCCATCTTTTATATGCTGATGATTTGATTATTTTTGGCAAAGCTGAAGTTGATAACTGCATTAAACTCTCCAACATTCTTAAGGAATTTTCTAGGGCCACTGGTCTTCATGTCAACTTTGGGAAAAGCTCTGTTATATTACCTCCTAACTGTATTAATTCTGAGGATTTATGCTCTGCTCTTAACATCTCCGCTGCCTCCTCTTTTATGACTTATCTGGGTATACCCTTATCTCCTTTTCACCCGAAAATTAGCTGTTTTTCTAAGCTTATAGAGAGTATCATTAAGAAGTTGTCTGGTTGGAAAGCCAAAGCATTATCTTTTGCTGGCAGACTTCAATTTCTCAGGTATACGATTTGGAATACTATTGCCTACAGGATCCGTGGGAGTATTATACCCAAAACCATTCTAAAACAAATTGATAGATTATGTGCTAAATTCCTTTTCTTTGGGGACTTAAATAAGAAAAAATTGCACTTAATCTCTTGGAAAAAGACTTGTAAGCTAAAGAGTTTGGAGGTATTGGATTGCCTGAAATTACTAGATGCGCCAAGAGGGGGGTGAATTGGATGATTAAAAACTTCTTTAATGAAAAGAAATATCTTTTTATAACTTTATGCGGAAGCGAATTTCATTCACAATAGAAAGATATGTAATCAATTTCACCCACGCAATTAATCACAATAAAAATGAATGCGGAAATAAAGTGCGAAAATAGTAAAGAAAAGAACACACCAATTTATAGTGGTTCGGTCAAACCATGACCTACGTCCACTCTAACTCTAATGTTGCCCTGTTCTGGGATCATTGGGTTAAAGATAGCTGTATCAAAGAAATTGATGTCCTTCAGCCGCTGCTATCTGTTTTTCCTGTTAATGAGAGGATTAATGTCATTATGAATGGGTATGCTTGGGTCCTGCCTGAGCACTTGCCGCTGGCTGTCCGGGATTATCTTTCTCATATCCCTATTTTTTCTGCTGATCGGGATACAATATATTGGGATGATGTTAAGGCTTGCTGGCATAAGAATTTCAGGGATTATTTCCATATTCATGATGTTAATGTTAATTGGTGGGAATTTGTTTGGCATAAACATTATATTCTTAGATACTCATCTTATAGCTGGATGGCTTTATCTGGGGGTTTAAAGACTGCGGATTCTTTATTAGCCAGAAATATCTCTGTGGATCCTATTTGTGCTCTTTGCAACTCTCATGCAGAATCTATCAACCATCTTTTCTTTGAATGTGACTACTCTTTTACAATTCTCTCAAAGCTTATATCCAATCTTGGTTTTTTACTGCTCAGGCCTAGTGTGCTGCAAATTTTTGAATATATCAAAGAAACTCGTGACAAGAATAAAGATTTTTACTATCTTCTTATTTGCTCTTCAATTTACTATATTTGGAGAGAAAGGAATGATAGAAATTTTGGGAATTCTGCTCTTTCTTCCACTTCTTTATCACTGAAAATTAAGTCTGCAGTTTTCTCTAGGATTTTGAAATGGAAAAATAGTGATATGTTGATGAAGTTACTGTAAGGCTTCTTGAGAATTGTATGGTGCTGTGTCTGGTGGTTCTGGCATGCTTCTGTTCTGCTGGATGTGTTTGGCAATCCGGGTACTGTTCTGTTTAGGTTGACAATCCGGGTGCTGTTCTGTTTTTGGGTTGGCAATCCGGGTGCTGTTCTGTTTTTACCTGCCGATGTCTGGTTTGGCTCTTTGCTGATCTGTTGCAGGTATTGGTTTGTGGGTTTTTTTCGTGATAATGGGCAATGATGACTGGATTGCCATTTTCCCCTTTGGATGGCAGGAATCTTATTTTTGCAACCAGGTTGAGAGAGCGGCAATTCCTGAGCCCGCGGCATCTTTGATCTCCTCTACCTTTGATTATTTTCTCATGTATTTGATTTTGTTTTTGATTAATTTGCCTTATAGGATAGTTCTGGGGATTTTGTTTTATTACCCCACTTTTGGATCTTCTAAGTTTTGTCAAGATCGTTTTTGCTGCTTTTTCTTTCTTCATTACATGTAACAAGTTTATATTAATGAAAGGGCTTTGGCCATAATTTTACCCAAAAAAAAAAAAGATAATGAATCTTTTTTAGAATATAATACTTGCTTAAATTAGAATGAGAAAGAATAACTGATTCTGATTTGAATTCTAAGGAATCCAATTCATCGATTAAAGCTGTGCTTCTCATATGGGATGGAGATATGAGTTTTTTTCTGAAAAGCTGCAGCATTATTCAAAATAAAGCAGCAGTACTTTTTTTGAAAAGCTGCAGCATTATTCAAGATTCCTTCATGTAGGGATTATATTCTATTAATAGTATTTTTGGAGCAGATAAATTTGTATAGATTTTTATAATACTCCATTAAAAGACTCGTATTGACTATTTTCATCGTAGATCATTCATTTGGCATATTGATGTTATGTTTTTGGGTTTGTCTTCTCAAGATACTCAAATTAAATTTAAATTTGTTAAAATCAAAGTTAAAACAATTCTAATACGCAAATAATATTCTGAGATTCAAATCATTCAAATGAATTTATTTGAGATGTATCAACTCTTTTTTTAAAAAAAGGGTCAGTTTAGTCCCTTTTTTTTAATAAAAAAATATTGTCTTAATAGAAACTAGCATAACAATTTGGTATCACAAATCTTTAAATCTCAAAACGCATCTTTTTATTATTAAAAGCTGTGAAAAATTAAATTAAGATGGCAATAATTTAGCCCAATTAAACTCCTAATTTTTCTCGTGCTAATCTTTGGCAATAATGCTGCAAATATAGCTTCACGGTTCTATTGTTCTCAGCTGCGGAGGTATAATGAAGTGCCCTAATCAAGGCTTTATTTGAAGTGAAATTATTCTATGTGGAGATTGTTTGGAGGCGAATTAGAACGCATCACATCACTAAGTACATTACGGGTATACGTCCGCGGTATACAGCAAAGAGGTGACGTGATTCTGATTTGCCTCTCGATGACGTTTGATATATGTACAAAATAATTTATCTCATTTGAGACCATTTTTTTATGGCTTTAGTATAATTTTAGTTAAAATATTAATAATAATCACTATTTTTAGTTTGTGTCTCATTTTCTATTATTATTTTACTATTGTGAGGTCCCCATCAACGACATCATAAATTATTATAAGTTATCATTTAATATGTAAAATAAAATTATGCAATATGCTTGAAATTCCCAAAGATTTAACAAAACAATCTAAGTGTTGTTTGGTTTGAATAATTAGTGCATAAATTAATTATCTAATTTAACTTAATTGTATAATTCCACAAACTGTACACATGGCAAGCCTTGCTTGGATCAACTTTTGTAACGTTAGAACAGGATGTAGTTTCTTTATTCTTTCTGTGTATTTATACCCATGTATACGGTAATCATAATAGACAATGAAATTAGCTTTCTTCTTTCTCTGTTTGGCTCCCGTGAACGTTTCTGTCTTTTCATTTCTCTGCTCCTGTCTGTACCGTTCTACACTTCTTTCTTGCTATTCTCTGTTTTCCCTTTCTTCCTGCATTGCATTTCTCTTGTTCTCGGTTTCTTCAGTACTCGGCATCCTTTAAAGTTTTTGTTTTTCCTCACATACTCGGCATCCAGTGAAGAGATGGTTTACATCTTAGACCAGCAGCTGATTGTCTTCTACGTCCTCACCCTCAAGTTGAGGGAAACCATCGAGGCTAATTTCTGCAAACCCCAGGCAAAGCTGATCGCCATGCCTTTTCTTCCCAGCTTGCACAAGTCCAATCCCGAGACCAAACCCGATCACAAGCCTCAGCTGCCTCCGCCGCAGCCACTTGACTCCCCATGGATCATCTCGATCATCGAAAAGATCAACCAGGCCCGACAGGACGAGGCTTCCTCAACATGGGATACCCAATCCATCTATCGCGTCCCCAAAACCCTCCGTGACGTTGATCCGACCGCCTACACCCCTAAGATCGTCTCCATTGGCCCCTACCACCGTGGATGCCGACACTTAAGCACCATGGATCGCCACAAATGGCGCTCCCTTCACCGCGTTCTCGACCGAACTGGCCACGACGTCCGCCTTTACCTCGACGCAGCCCGCTCCCTCGAAGTCAATGCCCGTTCCTGCTACGAGGCTCCCATCTCCATGTCCTCCGACGACTTCGTTGAAACCCTCGTCCTCGACTCCATATTCGCCCTCGAGCTCTTCCGCGGCGTTGCCCTCAAGGGATTCCAAGGTCTCGGCTACTCCCCTAACGACCCCGTCTTCACCGTCAGCGGCATCATGTTCTCGCTCCAGCACGACATGATAATGCTCGAGAATCAGCTCCCTCTCTTCGTCCTCGACCGGATCCTTTCCCTCCAGGACGACTGCGAGCCTTCCCGCTCAAACCGCGTCGCTAGCCTCGCGATCAACTTCTTCAAGGACCTTATGCCCACCGAGGAGTTCGATCCCACCGTGTCTTCTGATACTCTCTACAAAGCCGGCAGAAGCGGCGGAGCCCTACATTGCCTCGACGTCTTCCGCCGCAGCCTCCTTCCGCACCACACGCCAGCTTCCTGTCCACGGCCAAGCTTCCGTAGCGAGCAATCCGCACAGCCCGTTGAATTCGCTTGCCCAATGCCCTTCTCGGACGCTTGCTTGCTTCCAATTGACGACGAGCGTTATCAGCAGCTCATTCACTGCGTTGCTGATCTCCGCGACGCCGGCATCAAATTCCGGCGCCGGACAGGCGTCCCGTTTTGGGACATTGAGTTCAAGGACGGCGTCCTATACATCCCCCGCCTTTTTATCCAGGATGGGACCAAATCACTCTTCCTTAATCTCATAGCGTTCGAGCAGTGTCATTTGGAGTGCGGCAACCACATAACCTCATACATTTCCTTTATGGACTACCTCATCAACTCAAAGGTGGATGTCGGGTACTTGCATGACAAGGAAATTATCGAGCATTGGCTCGGGAGCGATAAGGAGGTGGTCGATATGTTCAACCAGCTTTGCCATGAGGTAGTAATCGACTCTGATGATTGCTACTTGTTGAAGATATCGATGCAGGTGAATCGCTACTATAGCAATAAATGTAATACTTGGAGAGCCAGCTTTAACCAGAAGTATTTTAGTAATCCATGGGCTTTCATCTCTTTGATGGCTGCTGTTGTCCTGCTTTTGCTAACTGCTTTACAGACGTTCTATACTGTCTATCCCTATTTCAAGCCAAAGTAGCTACTTTTGCTCTCCGATGGCTTCTATTAAGACTTTTATTAGTTAATTATTATCGTCCGTTCCACTTTTATTTAATGATGTAAGTTTGATGTCATATGTATTAAGTCCTAGTGATGTAACCAATATATCTATAGCCATTTATTCTTATCATTAAGTGATTCAAAGCTAACTCTCATTAGAAGAGTTCAGTCTTTCCCTCAATTGCAAAAAATGTGATTATAAAGTATGCCATACAAGTTTTTATTTATATGAGTATGAGTGAGAATGTTGAATATATAATCCATGTATTGAATGATAGTGGCAAGGTGTAAACAAATCAAATAATGATATTGTTGTATGATAATAATTAAATTATAACGAATGAATTATAAGATTATGAAGGTTGAGGGATGGCGGTTAGAAGATGATAGTAGAAAGACAATGATCGAAAGACAGTATTCAATAGATGATTGTTAGACAAAGATAGTCCTGTGATTGTGGTGGCAAGTAATGATGATTGTTAACATCGAATGTCAAGTAGAGCTCTACAATTATTCAAATCTCTAAGCTCTCTCAAAACTCAAGTCTAGATCCGTTAGTGTAGGAAATTGTAGTCTATTAATAACATTTTTGGAGCAGATAAATTTGTTTAGATTTTCATAAACTCGTATCGACTCTTTTCATCGTAGATTTGTTTATTTAGCATTTTGCTTCTGTTGTTGTTGGGTTCGTCTTTTCAAGATACTCAAATTAAGTTTATATTAGTTGAAATCAAAGTTCAAAAATTTAAAATTTAATTATGAAAGTTTTTTGAGTAAATAATATACTGAAATTTGTATCATTCAAATGAATTTTTTTGAGATGTATCAACTCTTTCTTTAAAAAGGATTAGTTTAATCCCATTTTTTTTTAAAATAAAAAATATTGTCTTCATAGGAACTAGCATTTGGTATCACAAATCTTTAAATATCAAAACGTGTCTTTTTTTTATTAAAAGCTGTGAAAAATTAAATTAAGATGGCAATAATTTAGCCCTATTAAACTCCTAATCTCTCAAGTGTTAGATTTGATCTGATTTTTTATTGCTTTTTAAAATGGTAACTTTTTAACACATATTTTAGTACAAATCTTAGTTAAAATATTAATAATGATCACTATTTTTTAGTTAATTTTTGGCTCATTCTCTATTATCATTTTATTATTGTGAGGTCCCTGTCAACGTACGGCATCATAAATTATTATAAGTTATCATTTAAAATGTAAAAAACTATGCAATATGCTTGAAATTTTCAAAGAATAACAAAACAATGTGGGAGTTGTTTGGTTTGAATTAAAAGGAGTTAAAATTTTTTAAATGCAGTTAATTTGAAAATTTGATGTTTGGTTTGAAGTCAAAAAAAAAAAAAAATACAAAATAAAATTTTGAGGTATTTTGCATCTAGTTCAATTTTAATGCATTTAAAATTGTTAGATTCGACCGATTTTCTAATATATTAATATAAGTTCTCTAAAATTTTTGCTGCGACCATCAGTTGGTTGCTAGGTTTATTTATCACAATGCTTATTCATTGAATAATAAAGCTAACGTCCATTCATGTGGGGTCATTGAATAATGGAGCAAAGCTAACGTCCATTCATGTGGGGGATGAAAATATTCATTTGATTGTACGTAATATATTTTTTTAAATATATTTGTAATATTCATGTTCAATGCCAAAGCTCTTTCTCACTCGTGATAGAAACCAATCAAGTATACCTGAGAATCCTTGTAAGAGATTTTTTCCAAGAACTTTATTATCACGGGGGACCAGCTTTCATTTTGAGGGGACAAATATAATATATATATATATATATATATATATATATATATAACGAAAAATTATTTAAAAAAGTTGAGCAAGAAAAATGAAGAAAAAAAGGTGTAATTAAATTATTATGAAAGACATCAACTAAAACATTAGAACTAAATGCGAATAAATATATAGATATTTTAGGTCAAGTTAGGACAAACGGTTTTTTACGGGGGGCAAAAATAATTTTTTAGAAGGGGCAAAAAATCTTCTAAAAATTTATTTTCACTCTCTTTCACTCTCCTATAAAAGAATTTTTTTTTATGGGGGGCAATTGCCCCCCCCCCCCCTAAAGAACATGTGGTTCCGCCATTGTTTATTATAGAAGTTGAAAATTTCTCTACATTAATTATTCTAAAATATTATATTCCACTTGACGATGTACAAAACATATGAAAAAATTAAATTTGAAAGGGTTAAAAATTTTAAAAAAATAAATTGTTGCCCACTAGTATTTATCATCACAAAAGCAAAAATACAGGCGTAAATGAGTTGAGCTGAGCTTGAGTTATCTGAGTTTAAACTTCAACTTGATTAATTAATGGATTTCAATTCGAGCTCGTTATATTCTACGAGCAGATTTATTTATTCCGAATGAGAAACAAATTATTATTCATACATCATCAAAAAATAGTCTCGATCAAGCACGAATCTCGAGGCAAAATCAAGTTGGAAACTTCAAAAATTAAATTGATGACCATCTGAATTCTGATTTCAGCAAAGTTATAGTCGAACTGAGCGTCTCAGAAACACAAATCCAACAACAGCAAAATCGACCCAATCTGAGCACAAATGAGTCCAAACCAAAAACTCGAAGCACTTTTGGAATGATCTAACCACAATTTGGGTTACCAAACGGTCTACAATCTTGACATGCTTATAGTGAAATCAAGCGGCTCAACGAAGACAAATTTAACGAGCCCAAGATCATCAAATTCTGATATCATTAAGATAGTCAAAAGTCTATTGAACGATACATAATCGTAGGAATCAAGATCGGCCGTCCATCCGAACCACTCCAATTTACCCTTGATATTTCACTTATTTACAAGTCATGTCACTCAAGAATTCTATAAATAGAACCCCATTCTCTCTTGAAAGAAGGGGGGGGGGGGGGGGGGG